GAAAGAATTAATCAGTAACCCTCCCGTGTTAAGATTACCAAACTATGACATGCCCTTTATACTGCAAACAGATGCGAGCCAAGTAGGTTTGGCGTCAGTGTTATTGCAAGAGATCGATGGTGTTAGATTTCCTGTACATTATTACTCTAAGAAGTTTACAAAGCAGGAACTAAACCTAACTGTTTATGAGAAGGAAGCATTAGCAGTTGTACTGTCGATTCAAAAGTTTAGGAGTTACCTGGAAGTTATGCCATTTTATTTAGAGACGGACAATCAAAGTTTATCTTGGGTTTTATCACACCACAATAAGTTAGGTAAATTGGGGCGCTGGACAGAGTTAATATTGGGGTTACCTTTCAAAGTAAAGCACATTAAAGGTAAGGATAATAAGATTGCGGATTGCTTGTCTAGGATGTTTGAGGGATATCCCAATATTGAAGTCGAAAGTGAGATGTCAGATGATAAGATAAATGAGTTGGTAAATAACCTGAGTTGTGTAATGAATAAGGAAGTCAGCCTTAGTAATGTAATTAATAACTTAACGGAGTATCCAGCAGCCTTTACTGACATACGTGAGCACCAACGAAAAGATGAAAGCCTTTCAAAGATAATAGACCAGATACAGAATGGTGATAAGGTGTCACCATACACGATAAGTAAGGGAGTGTTATTATTCAAACCATCGAATAAAGTAAAAGGTCGGATTGTAGTTCCGGAAGCAATGAAAGACATGGTATTACATTATTTTCACAACAGCGTTAGCACAGGGTGTCATTTAGGTATTTCTAAAACAGCGAATAAGATAAAGCATATATTTTATTGGGAAAGGATGTTGGATGACATAAGAAATTATGTAAGAAAGTGTGAGGAGTGCTCTAGGTCTAAACAATGTCAGCGTACGTATCATGGAGAAATAGTAGATTACCAAGCTTCGAAACCTATGAGTAAGCTGTATATTGACGTTGCAGGTAGTTTCCCGAGGAGTAAGATAGGCAATAGTATGTTGTTAGTGGTAGTAGATGATTTCACTAAGTATGTCTGGTTAGTTCCATTAAGAGATGCAAAAACACGCAATATTGTTAAGGCATTGGAAACACAGGTTTTTAAACATGTAGGAACACCTGAGATGATTGTTTGTGATAATGCTGCTTACTTTAGAGGAAATGAGTTTAAGAATTTCTGTTTCAAATATGGTGTGAAATTACACAGGATTGTGGCGTATAATGCAAAGTCGAATAAGAGCGAGCGCTACATAAAAACTGTAAAAGGTAGCATGGTAGCTCTACATCACGATTGTCATGACAGCTGGGATAGTAGTTTGCATTATGTACAGTTAGCAATTAATACTGCTGTAAATGATGTAACCAAACACACAGCATTTGAACTTATGTACAACTTTGAGCCAAATTGTAGTTTGTCGACATTGTGGAAGGTAAAGGAGTTACTCGGCGATGCAACTGATAAGGGAGGAATAAAGGCCAAGTTTAGTACTGCGATAAGAAATCTAAGGCTTGCTCACGCTAAAACCAAGGAACGGAGATTAGTGAAAGAAGGGAGTAAACATCCATTTAAGTTGTTTGATGAAGTGTATGTAAGGCTTCACCATATTAGTAACAAGGCAGCCAAGTTCCAAGCAAAACTTGCATACAAATGGTCCGAAAAGTTTAGGATTATCCATTTCTTGACACCTGTAACCGTATTATTGCAAAAGGTATCAGATTTAAAAATCATTCAAAGAGCGCACCTTGATCAATTAAAGATGGTATGATTAAAGTAGGGCAATTGTGATGACATGAGATAAGAAATGATTATATGTACATAGTAACTTAGTAGATTTCTGTGAATATTTGTTGTGAAGCCTGAATAATAACGTGGTATTGAACGCCTAAGTGGAAGGTTATCAGCGAAGCCTGAATTAATGACACAATAAATTAATTGATATGGAACGCGAAGCTTGACACTTTAGAGCGAAGCATGACGAGATTATTGTTAGGAACGCAGAATAGACTGAAATCCGATAGTAAACTTTAGCAATCAGTAAAAGTGAAAGAAAGGATACATCTAAAATATAAAATGATGTAATTGAATTTTACTACAATACGATTGGAATTTTTGCTTATCACTCGGACGCGAGTGAATGAAGCAACAAAGGTCTTATCTCTTCTTCACGCACAGTCTGTAAGAAGGAAGTTACATGGCCAGGTTTCTTTCTTCATAACAGTGTAAAGAAGACCAATATGTGTGTGTAGTATTTATAATTATGTAAATTTGGAAAATTATTAGAAAAAGGTAGAATTAAGCGTATGTAATTAAAATTATAACATTTCTTATGCCATGTTGATGTTAGATATTAAACAATGTATATAAAATAGGCACCTATTTAAAAAAGTTGTTTTTTCAGTGATGTGTTTTAAACAAATGTAATGTTTCTTGTATTATATTGTAAATAAATATGTGTTAGTTTATAAGAAATTTTGAGATTCATGTTATGAGATAGTAAGATTAGCAATGTAATCCAGGCTACTAACATGAAGTTTTAAATGAACTGAAAATGAAGTTTGACAATTATATCAAATAATTGAGTAAAATGATGAGTAATGAAAGGGGAGGAGATGTAAGCAACCTGAAATAAGCGCGCGGCGGAGGACGCGACCTTGATAGTTGGGTCAGATGTTTGATAAGAGATAATGCAAGCGGAAAGGTTTGTTTACTTTTCAATGTCTGTGGTTTGAGGTCGTCGAACCGTGTTGTTTAAGGAGCTTAGGTGTGGATTATGACACCGAGAAAAAAAAGGGTGAGAACAAAAAAAATGCGTTTTATTTTGATTTGCAAAACAATATTTTTTGTTTGAAAGGGGAGATTTGTCACGATTGTGACAGAAATTATATTTTATTTTCATAGATTATAAGGTAATAGAATTGAATGTTAGTACAAATCCTGGAAAACTAGAAGAAACCGGTTTTCTTAGTTCAAGTCGATACCAGCATTGATAACTGCAAGCGCGCAGTCTGGTGGCAAGTGTTCGAGACTAGGCTTAGGGTAGCGATGATTCATAATTTGGAGGAGAACCACTTTGTTTCAATCTCATTTTGCGTAGTTGTGGTCGACAGTCAACTTGTTCCCTCGATTTGGAGGTATGTAATGCAAATAATTAAGCAATTTATGTTTAAGGTTATTCCAGGAAAAATCAGTACAACTTCAATATGTAAATATATATAGCTAAGCATTTTTGGGTAAACCAATTAATAATTTTTACTTAAATTTTGATAGATATGAAGATTGAACACCACGTGTTTTTGGCTCAGGTTTTAACGAGTGTTAAAAAATTGTTTTAGCTTTGTATCTTAAAAGGGATTAAACTTAAAGAGCATTGTGTCAATCTAAATGATTTTTATAACTATCAGTAACTGTTCAGAGAGAATATTTCGATTAAATTTTATTTTTTAAGGTAAAATTAGGTTGGTTTCAAAGTCATGTTCTAGTTGAACCGACAGGATTTTAATATTGTTTTAGTTTGGGGTAGTTATTAAGGATTTGTCTAAACAGTTATTTATTTCGATATGGAAGAAGGATATGTTTAATTGAGGTTATTTGTGTTTTATTAAAATGTCACAGTAAACTGATTTAGTAATTCGTTAAAGGATAAAGATGTATTAGACACATGTTTGAGACAGCTGTTTTAAAATTACTTTATGGTCAGTTTTATTATTATTATGTAAATTCAGTAAGATTTGTGTTAAAGGGTAATTTGTTAAAATATTTTATATTTTGTACTTAAAATGATTTTATTTAGGGGGTTATTTCAAATGTTTATCAATGAGAACAGAATGATAATTATTGGTATTCCATGTTTAAATTTATTGTGGAGAAACTAGCTAGGCTTTAGGAAAAATTTGGGGAAATTAACTTTGCTGGATAGATGTGTGACTAGACTAAAATAGATATATTTAAGAAGTTTTATGATTAGGCCTATATTTGAGTTGTAAAGTAGGAAAGTATGGACTTTGGAGAGGACGAGAAGTTTTAGGGGGATTTATATATAAGGTTTGATCGATCAAAGAAAGGGGAGGGCAAAATAAAAGGGGGGGGGTTAGTAATGGTTGTAAAGTTTATTTTGGTTAAGTGGAGAAATAGTTTTTGTTAATTTTCTAAGGTGTTTTATCATACTGAACAATTGTTAGTTTTAAGAGTTTATTTCATTATATTGGATTTTTACTGGAATAATACGACTTCTTATTTCAGCATGCCCTTCTTGCCTCCTTTCACAGCACGCTATACTTGATCTTAAATTTAAGTCACTTAGGTGTGTCACCCTCTTTTCCAATTTACCAGATTGCCAATAGCTGTTTATCTCATCTCAATGAGCTCCTCACAGTTGAAAAGTTGGTGATGATCAGTAGTCTCTTCTGACCTGCCGCACTTCATTCCTAGTCATAATATAAACACAATGCAGATACTTCTGAAACGTCCAAATTCAAGTGATCAGTCATTCTGTCGTTTGTCATATTTTTAGCCTATCAAATATCAAGGTATCAATCCGTTTGAAGAGGGTGTGAAGGGTGAGTTTCCTGCTCTTAAAAGGGTTGTTTAGTCCATTTCCTACTTCTGGTTGTTCAAACAAACCTGATATCTTCTGGTTGTGTGTACTGTTAGTTGTTCTTCAGTGTCCCATAAAGTAATGGAGTTGCACAGATACTTACTTGATATCAGTGCTGCTTTAGTAAATGGATAGCCTGGTGGGCAGCCCAAGGGGAGCAATAAGTTTTTTATTGAGGGTACAACAAAGAAAAAAATTGCTTTGCAAGAAAGGTGGGGGAGGTGGTGCAAACACCTATGGGGCTCATAACGTGTCATACGCAAACCGGGGGTCTGATAGAGATGAGACAGAATGAGAAAGAACCTTTAAATATAATGGTAAGTATCCTAGTAAAACTGAAACTCCATATGGATATGGACATACAATTTTAACAGGTTGCATCTACCTCTGAAGCTCTACTCACCTAATGCTAAACCAAAAAGTCCATCCATGAGGTTGAAGTATTTGCCTCCTACGTGGAAATCCCCGTGCAAAGGATATGGGTAGAAGTAGTTGCTTGAAACTCTCCATGATCTATCATTCTCTAAGTCGTACACTAAAACAATAACAAAATGTTAAGATCCTAAAAGTGTACTGACATTATTAGAGATTAAATTGAGGGGGACCCAACATAATTCTTTCCTTGGCTTTCTCCCCCCTCTCACTCTCTCTATCTCTCTCTTTTAATTTTGTTATATGTAGTCAAACATCGGGTGACATTTTTTAATGTCTAAGTTTATAGTTACAGTTATAGACTGTCAACTATTATAGTCCCATAATGCTCAACTGGTACTGTAATGTCCAACCTCTAATAATTTTAAATCCTTATTAAAACCACATATGCTGTAATGATCTAGAGAATTGAATGATTCAATTGTCTTAAATTGTAATTACCTAATGAGAAAAAACTTAAAGAGTCAAAGCTAGCGTTTTGGTTACAGCATAGACCTTTAAAAATTAAATCTCTAAAGTAATAAAATATTTGAAGGTTTTATGTTCAGATGCTTTGGAAAGAGGTGACTTGAAGCTTGAAGAAACACAGAATTTATGTAAGGGGTACAATAGCATTACCTTCCATAAGGTAATGCTATTGTATATTATACAATACGGTAATATTTTTATTGAGTTACCAATGAGTTTGAAAGAAGTAACATCTGACAGATATGCATGGGCATCACTACAATCTGCAGTCCTTGTGTCTACAGCTATGTTGATCAGTAGAGAGTCTTGGTCCAAGTTAGAATCTGGTATTGTGTAGCGCTCTGTGAGACAAAACATACAACATTTAAGAAAGTGTTGTAATTGTTTAGGCATAAAGCTTAAAAAAGTGTGTTTTGCAGCAAAACGAACTTGCAATTACAAAATAAATCAATGATAATATATTTTAAGGGTTGTTTGTAAATTAAGGTGTCCACCAAGCTTGAGTAGTGGCCAAACGAGCTGACATCAGCTTCTTGTTCTTTTTCTCTTTTACTACTACTACTCTTTCACTACTAGCCTACTCTACTACTTTTTTACTACTTCTTTATCCCTCTGATTATATCTTTAGATAATTCCGCCGCCATGCGATGGTAAGTTTCATCATAGTATCAATACAATGTGAAAGGAAATAGAACATCTTGAAGTTTAGGTCATGTCCTATGGGGGTAGCGGATTTTTATCCCCCTGGAATTTTACCCCCTGGGCAAACATGACGTCACAAACCAGGGGGTAAAATTCCGGCCGCGAACTTTTGAGTTTCGCGACATCAGCTCGATGGATTAAACGCGGAATTAAACATATATTTTCACGGTTGTGAATTTAATCAGAACACGTCAAATTATAAAAACCTAGAGTGTACGGCCCGGATTTTTACCCCCGGAATTTTACCTCTAATGATAAATGATAAATAAATGATAAATAAATTAATATAGGCTACTTAATAATAAAATGTTTACTATTAAATTAAAACAGAATGAAGATAATTAATCATTCTCACTAATTTAAATATCTGGCCAAGGGGTAAAATTCCGGGGTAAAAATCCGGGGGGTAAAATTCCGGGGGGTAAAAATCCGGGGGTAAAATTCCGGGGGGTAAAAATCCGGCCCGTACATCTTCAGTTGTCTAAACGCTAGTTATATGGACTGGGGGTAAAATTCCGGTTTTTATTGCTAATCTAATTAATCACGCTCTGTCTATTTTCATTAGACTTCCAAATCCGCGGGGGTAAAATGCCGGCCGCGAACAAACTTTTGGCCACTCAGGTTACTACGTAATAGTGACGTCAGCTTTGTCCAGGGGGTAAAATTCCAGGGGGATAAAATTCCGGCGACCCGTCCTATGATTATACTTCTAAGGTTCTAGGGCAACGGTGGCCCTAGAGATTGCGTGGCCCAAAGCAAAGTTCAATAGTTGGCCTTCTTAATACCTAAAATACGGCTGTGCAACTAAAAAGCCCTGAAAAGCACGGGACCCCAGGCACTGCCTTTTTGTAGGGCCGCCTCGGCCTCTGGTCTAAGGATCCAACCCCTGTTAATGATCATCATTGGTTTGGTTATCGAATGTGAAAGAGGTTTTGACGTAGAAAGTATGTGTAAGGGGTAAAGCAAGCTATAGAAGAATGGTCATGATGGGTTAGCCTCTGGATCAAGATATAGCAAGATTCGTGGCGGCTGAAGGATTAGGACGGTCGGGTGATGTCCCAGCCCCTAAATTAGCCCTCGCTCTGCTGCTCTGGGGTTTCACAATGAGTCACCTACTGGGCTCAATGCATAGTTGGTAAAATGTTTGTATATGACCATAATGTGTATTAAATAACGTCATATTTGTAACCTGAATCAAATAACAAGAACATTGAGCCCAAACACGAAATAATTGCGATGATATTAAGCATACCAAAACACGAAAACTGACTATTATTTTAAAACCAAATGTATACTTAATATCCTCGCAATTATTTTGTGTTTGGGCTCAATGTTCTTGTTATTTGACGCAGGTTACAAAACTGGCGTTATTTAATACACTTTATGGTGATATACAAAAATTCTTCCAACTATGCATTGAGCCTAGTAGGTGACTCATGGTCAAAACCCAGAGCAGTCGAGCGAGGGCTAATTTAGAGGCTGGGACACCACCCTACCGTCCTAATCCCTCAGCCGGCACGAATCTTTTGCGGAAGGTATAGAATACCTGTAGAATAAGTTGATCCTGTTGTGTTATAAATAACGACAGCTGTTTCGTGCTGCTAAGAGCACATCTTCAGGTTAAATGTCAAAGACTATTTCTCATTGATGTATGAGCCAAATTACCCACACTGCTACCTTAAATGCTTTGCTTGCATCATTACTACTTGGCCAAGTTTATTGTATAAATGTCATATTCGTCTTTGTGTTTTCAAGTCCAAGAAGAGTTTATATTAATGTTGAGGACTTCATACATTAATGAGAAATAGAGCGTTTAACCTGAAGATGTGCTCTTAGCAGCACGAAACAACTGTCGTTATTTATAACACAAAAAGATCAATTGACGCACCCAAAGTTCAAACTTTTTTTAAGGTCTTGATCGGAACTGATGGATGCTTGCTTCCACCTTGCATTTGCATTGCAGCGTGCAAATTGCAAATTTATGATGGCCTTCTGCAAACTTAGAAATATTTGCATACTTTTTATTCCATATACTTTTCTCTATGCACGTCTATTAACTGGCAATATATTTCAATAGAAGTTGACACCCTTACCAAGAAACCTATTAATAGAACACAATTTATATTTGGCAGGGGGGGGGGGTGTAGATTTTCTCTCACATCATTTTTGGGTCGACAACGAGACTAATCTTTGAATAGCGATTGGAACCTGCTAGAATAGTAGTTTGAGGGGTAATGAACATGAGGCTGGATTCAGATTTAATACTTCGGCTGTAACCGGAGATTGTGGGAGATTGTAATTTACAAATAGCGCTTGTACAATATAGATATATTATAATAAATGATGTGTCTGTGGTCTAGTCGGTTGCGTGAGAGACTTTAAAACCAAAACAGCAATTTCCTGGGTTTTGTGTTAAAATTTTATCCAGTTAGAACTTAAATCACTTAATGGCGATCCCTCTATACCAACATACACAGATTTGCAAATCTGTTTGATGTGTATAAAAGATTAAAAAAAATATACGTCTGATAACACTTGTAATAATATATTTACACTTATATACTGTTGACTCACAAGATGGTAAATACAAAAGTTGGTAAGTGGTGATCGATTTCGATTGGACACTCCAATCATCATCAGACCCAATAGGCGAATCATAGTACAACATTGGCCTAATGGGTCTGATGATGATTGGAGTGTCCAATCGAAATTGATTACCACTTACGAACTTTTATATGTATTTACCGTCTTGTGAGTCAACAGTTTAAGTGTAAATGTATTATTACAAGTGTTATTAGACGTATATATTTTTTTCAGGTAATAACACATACGATGCTGATCAAGAAGTTATTTACTATAAAAGGTGGTCTGGTTACCAAAAATGTATCTAACAAAAATAAATGATTAATTTCCATTATGCTCTGTAATGTACTTACTGATAAGGGAATCTGTGTGAAGGTCAAACACTAATACTTGAGGCTGACATTTCCTCTGGAATGTATTGAAAACATCCACAACACCTGAGTCTATTACCCAAAGTCTTCCACATCTGTCTACCTGAGAACAGTAACTAGAATTTGAATGACCATCAAGTTAGTATAGACTTAATAATAACAACAATAAAACATCAATTTAATGAAAATTGTAAACCTAAAAAATTTAGATAGTTTAATCCTGTAGTTTTTAAAGCTGGAAAACAACATTCTTTGTGATTGAAAAACTTTGAAAATTTTATTCAATGGTAGCACTGGTTAGGGATCCCAACAAATTGTGTTGGAATTTCCCAACAGGTTTTAAATTGTCTCTTCGCTGCCTCCAGACTGTTCATTGTCATGGGTTGGGTGTGTTAGTGTTGCTAGCCTAGTGGCACAGACTATGGAAGTTTTACTTTATAGTCTGTGCTAGTGGTTAGCGTCTCAAACCTCAGTACAGGAGGGACTGATTCAATTCCCGGCACATCCACAAAACCTTATAATCGGTTTGGACAGCTTTTCTTAGACTAAACTAACTTTGAGATCAATTAAAAATGCCACTGGCGTAAAAAAAGTTAATAAAGTACATCACTATTATCAAAAGTCAAAATCTGCGCCTCTTTCCAAGAACACACCTGGTGGCGCCAATATTGTTGCAGCCGACTATTACAGAACTGCAGCTCAGTCCAACTACGTACATTATGTAGTCGTTTTTTGTGTTTATTTATATAGATTTAAAATGAGTCAAGTGACCATACCAATGTTGGCCACTATTTTGCTGCAGTATGACGAAAACATGTTAAATGATTGCAATCGTTTTCACTCACGTGGGTCCTGAACACGCTGGTGATGCCGTCACAGTCGCCCCGGTGCCACGACCAGTCAGGGAAGGGCTGCAGGAGGGTCACGCCGTTACGCTTCAGGTCAGACACCGTGGCTAGAGTCACTGGAGTGCCAGGTTTGGTTTTGGGGAGCGTCACGAACAATTTGCGGCCCTCACCGTTGTAGCCTGCAAAATATTAATGAGATAAGGAACATCATAGCGTTTGCAATTTGATTGAATTTCATTGCGGAAATTGTTATATGCTGCCGTACTGTTCTTTCCGTGGGCTTTCATGGTCAATGTCATTAGCCTAGCCAGTGAGGATGCCTCTTCAAAGGGCTGATCTGGTAGACCCATTACAGTAAAGGTTATTTGGTTCAAAAGACATTTTTTAAAACTGATAAGTAAAACATTATTTTAGTTTTGACTACATAACTATTTTCAAAGAAGAATTTATTTTGTTTTTGCGATATTTGATATTTCATATAAAATTAAAGCTTAGCTCACAATGCAAAATTTTAATCAGACTAGAGGTATCTGAACTTTTTTAGGAAAATCTAGGGTACCGTATTCAAAATAGTACCAAATTTTTTACATAAAGAGCTGCCATTTTAGAACAAATAATTGTCAAATTCTGATTCTACAAAAATTTTTGTATAACAATAGCTATAAAATTATGTATAACATGACATATGTATTTGACAGTTTACAGTTGTGAGATTTGAACTGGTGAACCTCTAGTTTAGGTACATCCTACATTTAAAATACTTTATACATTTTCACTTTATTAATGTGCAATGAACAATTTGTCTGAAATAAACAGTGATGGACACTATGAATATGACACTATGACAGAAGCTGTATGGATCATAGACACAAGCAAATGACGTCACTGATTCTATAACATCATTAACATATATGGTTTAGACAGTTCCAATCAAATAATTATATATACAAACATGTTTACTTTCAGGCCAGTGACATAATTTTATTATGTTTATGACTTATTGTTTCTGTTCCGAATATTCGTGGTGGACATCTTACCCTGTGTATCATCCTTATCTATCAACATTTAACATGTTTGTACCGATTTAGTAGAAGCCGATTAGTTGCATAACGTTTTAAGTTTCAAGAATCAAGAATATTTATTTGCCATTAAAAACAGAACGTTACAATAGGCATCGTCAGTGCAAAAATACATCACAGTCGGTCTATAATACAATCAGTCTTAGCGTCTAAAAATTCATCTACAGTGTAGAAAGCCTTACTTTTTAACAATTTTGTAACTACACAATTAAATTTCTTATTAGGCAACAGCCTCGCAATCTATGGCAGTTTATTATGAAGAACAACAGTTGTTGGTCAACTAATTCAACGTATTCCAAAACTAGTTAAATTGAATGGAACGATGTGATAGCCAAGTTAGTAAAGCACAAAAATCATCAAACTCACGCTAAATAAAAGAGAAACTCACGCAAGTTTACACCACAACTAACACTCTAAGCATTGTTTACATGAAAAAATATAAAACAGAAAACAGGTTTCGGGTTTTACAATAAGACATTATTTATTAAATTGCTTTATTCAAAATCAACTAGCTGTTCAGAAAAAAAATAACTTAGTAATTAATTCATAAATTAATTTTTTAGACTTTTAAAAGGCTTTATTTTGGTTTGTTGAAAGCCCTTTAAGGATTTTGTCGACTAAGAATTTGTTTTATTTTAGTCAGAACCATTAGCCTACATTTCATTCTGGTTCTGACTATAATAATAAAACAAATTCTTATTCGAAAACATCCTTAAAGGGCTTTCAACAAACCGAAATAAAGAATTTATGAACTACTGAGCAGAATAGAAAATAGAAGGTGTTAGCCGTGATAACATGACAATTAGTCAAGCCACATAACATTAGAAACACAGCCACTTGTATTTCGTGACCACTCCGTACATGTAATGACAATACGCAATTATTACTCCATCACATTATTGTTACTCTATGCAAGGCTTTTAGTGAAATGGCAGCGCGGCGGGAATATTGCTTTCTGACGTGTGAATTACGCGTTGGCATTTTGCGTAGAAAGTGTAAAGAATTGGTGCCCGCCTCGTAAGTTATTGCTATTTTTATGTATAGTTTTGATGTAAACAAAACTGTTATGATTGTAGTATACTTATACTAATATACTTACTATTTTGGATATACAAATTAATTGTTGCAAAGTCTTTATATCAATCTCTGAAGTTATAAACTTCGAAGTACTCACGGCTTAGCAGGTTTCAGCTTTTAAGCTGTGTGATAATTTTATTTAACAGAATCTGTCTGGATTATAAATATAAATAAATTACGTCACTGGTCCGAATCTTATACTTATAACATTAAAATGTGGTATCAGGAAGTTTTTTGTCAGCTCCATTTAGATAATACAGACATGTTTATTTTTGAGCTAGTTACATCATTTGTTCGTGTTTATGGATACATTTTTAGATATAATATTCGTGGGAGAGGTAAGAAAACATTTTACAAATGATAAACCAGTATAAAAAACTACGTTAGCGAAATTTCCGAATCTGCGAGTCTTGACTTACATTTTATGAGATGACTTGAAGAATAACTTTAAAAAAAAACATAAAAATACGTAAATTTGCAAAAAAATAATTCTGAAAAATCAATAAACTTACCTGACCACACGTCTACGTCAATAATTAGGTTATTTTTAGGGATGAAATCCCCATTGGCAATGTAGGCATCTCGAAGTGCCTCGGTCGGGAACGTAAAATCGACGTGAGTCCAGGCATATAGTGTTTCCATGCGACCCGCCAGCACTGCGGGACAGAGCAGCAGCAGAAGAAGATACATCTGGAACCAATGCAAAGGCTATGTTTAAATTGTGAATAGTCAGTGGTAGTTCTAGGACCTTGTCAAGGGGGGGGGGCTACCGTGATGAAATTCCTCACTCCCTAAGAAAAAAGTGGGTCTAAGGGTACTCCCAGCAAAATTTAGTATTTTTAAAGCAGTTTGGTGGATTTGTAAAGCAATTTCAACGCCTAGATCTTTGTCCAAAAACCTCCGTGATGGTTTTATGTATGTTTATGTATCCAGGTTACAATGAATGAACACTTTAACCTCTATAGCCACACCCTTGGAACCGCTACTGGATATAGTGCAATGGTTATTGAAAGAATAATGTTGGTTTCAATGCAGAGGTCTTATCATAGCCGATGGTTGCGTGAAAGCGATGAGGTGTGAGAAAAGGAGGCAAGGTAAGGCTGAACTTATACACGCTCTCTTGGGTTAAAGCGGAGCATTTATGAATGGCGGTGCAGTAGTAAAAGATTGTCGCTCAAGCAACTCGCTGTTTTAAAATACGGGAAGCAGGTTTGAAAAACACCGCTGCAAAAAAGTGTCATTGTGCGTTTCAAGTTCTATTTGATCAAATTCAATTAATTAATACGTGAATGCACGGTGGCAGTTGCCGGTCGGCAGTAGTATTTTCCACACCTTACAAGATATATTTTCCATATATTTGTATTTTATACATAATATTAGTAATCAATATATACATAGAAATAATTTCTTTACCCTCTTTGTTCTAATGTCAGTATAAATTAATACGTCGTGTTTAGTGTATAATGGCAATTTTATTGTGTTCACCTAATTCAAGTTGTAAATTTATATTTTGTATAACATTACCGTAATGTTAATTATGTTAGAAGCCACATTTGTAATAGGCAAAGTTAATTACAATTTGAAATTGTCAGATTCTGTGCTGGTTTCTTATAGTGATAGCCGATTGGGTTAATAACGGTAGCTGAAGGCACAGTGCAGTCAATAGTCAAGAGAAAAAGAAGTAGCAAATAAATGTGTAACAAACTAGCGGTAACACTGGTATTTGGTGATGCTCATCGGAATTTTAAAAATAGGGTTAGTTGATACTCGGTACCATCAATATAGACACAAGGGTACAATCAAGTAACTGCAGACACAAAACATACCAATCTATACTAGAGACTCAACCACTAAATTCAGAACGAATATCATATTTTGAGGGTCAAAAATGAACAACGCACTTTTCCCACTGTCCGGTCATGATGGTTCGCGAACTCTTTCAGATAAATTTAGGTTAACAAGTTTGCGGCAAATTTAACCAAATTTGGTTATCAAGCCAACGGAGATAAATAATATAATTTGATAATAATATACTATTCGATAACATTATAATGAATTTGAACGGATGGTATTTTTGGCTTTTGGTGACATTAAAACGAAAAAAGTGAATCGGCCTCGGGACTCGAGTCTAAGGTTTTACCTACGGCGATAGCATATTTCCTATAAGGGAAATTCGCTTAAATGAAGGAAACGTCAAAAAATACATGGTGATAAATAATTGAGAGGGTGGTTGAAATATTACTGCACACGTTACATAATACGACTTTTAAATACTGAAACACCTTAAAAATTATTATTGTTGAAATACGGTCAGTGGTTTGGAAGAAGATGGTATTATCGTAGAATCTTCTGAGTTCTTAATGGTGGTGAATTTCTTTCCACAAGTGAACCAGCTGTGAAATTAATGTTTGTTTTTATTTTGCTACTATTGTATTATTGGATGACAATGAAATCAAGACCAGAGATATGGTAGCAAACAATTAAACAATCCAAACATAATCATAGCAAACCGAGCAAACTACTTTCCCTCCATCTCTACTTAATTACCGGAACACTGGGACCACCTTCGTGTAGTCTTTGTTTACATGGCCACTGACTTCCGGTCAAAGACATCTAATTTGGAAGTTGTGTCACAGACGTATAAAGTCGTGGAAGAAAATTTCCGGGTGGGCATGGTTCAAGTTGTAAGACATTGTGTCTTTAAGGCGAAATCTAAAAAACCAAGTCGTGTTTTGAACGTAATTGATGCGATTATGTAAACATACCCGTCACAAACCAGCACACCAAGTCAATTTCCATTTGTCTTGTTGGATTTTGACTAAAATATCTCCTTCAAACCTGTCTAAATTAGCACGTGGCAGATAAAAACACCAATTCTTTTTATAACTCAGTCCCTTTCAGTCCATTAGGCTACCAGGTGGCGCAATAGTCATAACAATAAGAACACTACATAGAGCAACAACTGTCACCACTGCCCATAGAGTACGAAATGACAAAGGTATTTATAGCTGCATAGAGACGTAGGAAATCATTCACGGTTTGACATTGTTTTCAATCGAACAATAGATCCGTGAGATGGCGTTGATGCGATTGTGAAAACTTGATTGTAGCAAGGTTTGGCGGGTATGGTTTTGACAACTTTAGACAACTAATCTTTAGACAACTTTTAGATCAGTGCCTAATGTAGCGCTAGGTTTGAATCGTACTTTAATTTGGTTCAATTTGGAATTCTGAATATACAGAGAATGTGAGGGTTTAAAACAATAAAAAGGCAGATTTACAGTAAAATGAACCATTTGAAAAATATACCGTACACTTATATAGTGAATCTCTACCTAAGTTTGATTTTTTTAACTGATTGAGACAATACTTTTTAAATTTCTAACTCTCCATACTTCGTAAATTTTGTTTAATACATTTTTTAAGGTGGAATAGGGATTTATTCCTTTTACATGATGTATTCTAAATATAAAATAATTTCCTTCACCACTTCAGATACATGATGTGATGTTCCCCAGCCTAAGGTTATGCAAACAGAAAACAAAAAATATGCCTCCCTCTACGTTTTTAAGCAAATTCATCCCCACTGCTGTACTTTTTTATGAATTATTGAGTTCTCATTGATCATGAGTTCCTGATTTATTATTGGTCATTGGTCGAACTGCTTTAGTCTGTTGGCTGGTAATTTCCACCATAAAGTTCTTTTACCAACTTAAATTCAGTATGAAAATACATAATTATTAAACAGCATTAACGGTTCGGATTTCTCGATTCGGTTTAGTTAGGGGAATTGCTGAGGTGGTAAGAACCAAGTCCTAATAGATCAGTATTTTTAGAACTGTCCCAGAGGAATCATCATCTACAGAAAAGTCACGAAAGAATACAAGTTGGCCGCCTGAGTTTCCATTTAATTTCTTGTCTTCTTGGTGATGACAGAACAATTGATGACATAACTTTAAACATATGACGTCACCGGCCCGAAAGTTAAACAGTTTGTATTATTATTTTAATGGAACCGGCAATAAACGTTCCGAAACAGATAAGGTTATAAGTAGGCCTACAATATTCGAGCCAGTGACGTCATTTGTTTATTCCTAATTTTTATGCTCAAAACTGTTTCTGTTCTAATATCCGTGCAACCATTGAATACAATTTATAGTTAAAATAAAACGGCTAAAAGATTCACATAGATAAAATAAAACATCAATAATATTTAGAGATGAGATAATAACACATTTTGTAGGCTATAGAGTAATCATTAAGCAATAAACATTAAAAATACACGTTGTTAAGGTTTTTATAACAATTACCAAACTGTTTAATCGGAGTTTTATAGATTTTCATTATTTATACTTAATATGTTTTGTTTTTTTATAAAGGTTCTGACACATCGTAGCTTGTATTTGCTGAACATTTATTGATGATGATAAAAAAACTCAACTTTAGACAACTGTAATAATTTAACACGTCAAATGGTGTTGGCTGGATTTATATTTGGCCATTTATAATATAGAACTCGAAAAAAAACTCAAGTAACAGATACAATGCAAACCAATTTCACTTACCATGTTACTTGGTGAATATGCCTCAGCGGAGTGCCTCAAGGTAGTATCATAGGCCCGGTTTTATTCACCACAAACTAATTGGGCTTTCAATTACCACAAGAAATTTGTTTTGAGGTTTTCGAGGTCTGGTTTGATCCACAGCGGAACAATAAATTAGGTAACTGAGTTTTTGTCTGGCGGCCACGGTCGATGATTCTGTCAAGGACGGACAAAATATTTCACAAATCGTTGTTTTTGTGTATGTTCTGTCTTTTATTTTGTTTATTAAAAATCGAGTTTTTATTCTGATATGAAGAGCTTTGAAAGTTGAAACATGTAATCTCATAGAGGATGAAATGACATAGCATTAATTGAGCTCCTGCCTTTATAACATCTAAAAAAGAGAAAAGAGAAGCAGAAAAACCATCTGGGGAGTATTATCATTTTCTCCAATAAACTGTATATATCTCAATAGGATTTCATATGACTATTTTCAGAAGACAAAAATAATTCATAAACGGGTTGCAATACAAGTTTTTAATTAATTTAGCTTCAACGTAAAAAACCCTGGGGTGAAGTAAGCATAAATTTGTCTTTAACATGAAGTATTTATCATGAAGTATAATAACATAAACTATGAACTATTTTGTAGCTTCGGAATTATATCTATTTACCTCTCAAATTAGTATGTTTAATTTTTTAGCGTCTTTTTTCAAGATATTAAGTGATAATAAAGTAGCCTCTGATGTATCACATGCTATGTTTATGGATAATGAACTTATTGTTGTAGATTGATTTCTGGTGGATTATACTTTTATCTTCATGCAATTTGGACTTATTTTTTAAATCAAACCAAATATGTTGTTTCTCTAGCAAATATAAGTACTCATAGGGGCCGTATAAATGAACCTTGATGTATATAATAATATAAGAAATTTATTTGACACATTTTTGAATAAAATATCAATTTAACGGATATATATTCACATGTTGGATACGACGAAGGTATTTCATATTATGAAAGTCACAAAAATAAAAAAAAGTTTTGCAAATAAGCGTTTTTATCGTACACAACTCTTAGGGGGTATGTTTTAAAATAGACTTTGAACGTTGTATACGTTGAATACGTTGAATTCTATGCAAGAG